GGCATTATTTTTTGTCTGTGTTGTAGACTATTTTCCAAACATTTTCTGTGCTAAGACGTGGCTAACAGGAGGTCAAGAGAATCTTGAGGAGAATCAAATCCTCTGTGTAGTCCTTCTTAAGAAACTCAGTTCAGCGGAGCAATGCAAAAGCTAGGATTACCATGAAACGTGATTGAACCTCCAAAACCAGGGGGTAACAGGGGGGAGTGTGTTGGACAAAGAAGTCTTGTGGATTTGGAAGTGACCTACATGCAAGAGTCAAAACATAGCCCAAAGCTCAGCCAAAATGAAGAAAAAGCTGGAATCATACAATGCGTCCTGCATGAAATTCTGTTCTGTACTCCCATTGGCTTCATTCATTTTCTTGAATTGCTGCTTGTAATCAAAGCCAAACATGTTGCAAATGATTGTAAGGGATTTCTTTTTATTTCCCTGCTGCCAAGAAAACTAACCCGTATGGAGTTTATTGACACCAGAGTTCATGTACTTCTAGCTTACCTTTATGGTCTTTGTTCTCACAGTCATATTTCTCTCCTTTTTCCCCTCCAAGGTAAAAGTCAATTATATACAGTGTGTCAGTAGAAACTAATTGGGAAAAAGATCATGTTGAGAATGTTTAGAGTAATTCAGTACTTAAAGCATTGAAATTAATTACAAATAATCAGCAAAGTTTATTGCCTTGGAATCATATGAATTAATAATGTTTTCTGTTGGTATTTTGGGGGGTGAATTACCTATAAAAGTAAACATAGATGATATTCAGTGAGTATTTGTTTTTCGTCTAAAAGTGAGGCGATTATTATACACCTCTCTTTGATATTTAATGTTAATACCTGTAGTATAAAAGGAGTTCAGTTGTAGTATGTAAAACCGCTGATACTTACAATGACCTACCTCATATTATCAAGATAAGTATGAAAGATATATTGTAAGAACAGTTCCATTGCATCATTTTGTATAACAATTGATTATATCCTTACAGTGTTTTATGGTTATTGTTATATGGTTATCCTGGCCTTCTGTGAACATTCTTTTATTAGTTTGGCTAGGCATTGCCATGAAGTGAATTCTATAGCTGCCTGTCATGCTTTGATTTTTAATAAAGAAAATGTGAATGATTGGAATTGCCTGTCTGCAATTTGCTTTTACAGAGCTGTGATTTCTCTTCTGAATTGAACTAGAATTGGAAATGGAAGTTATGTGTATACATGTGAGGGCAGTACATAACCCCCAAATAAACCAGGTGCTACAAATAAAAGGGGCCAAAATAAGCTAGAGTAAATACTAACTCGTATTGTTGCAGTATTTAGATTGGAGATATCACAATCCATACCAGTATAGAGAGTAGAAATCAGGAGTTCATTATGTTGTTACAGTATTCAAGTAGTTATGTATCTAAGCTGAAATGGAGCAGTGCAATATCCCTTCAAGAATTAACTCAACTATTTATGATTGCATGTAAATAGGCTATGATTTTGACTTGCTGAAAGCCACAGGGGCACCACAGGGGCACTTTCAAAGTGCCCCTATACCTCTCAGAGTTTTGAGCAACAAAGTGTTATTTTTTTTCCATTGTTTGTGTTTGCTACGTGTAGTGTTCACATGATAGTGTTGCCAGTCATGTATTAATGTATTTTAGAATTAATCAGAGATTCTATTTCATTGGTTTGTCGCAAGTTCTAAAAGTGTTTAAGAACACTGAATTGTATTCTATGTTAATATCAATGATCTTTCTGACATTTAAATCAAATTCAAGCTTGTATTCGATCATGCCTTTTTAATATACAGTCATATTTAAAAGTCAGAATTTAATAATGGATGCAACTTTAAAAAGTAAATTTATTTAATATATTCCATTTGATTGATTTTGCCCTTTTTATATTTATGTCAGTAATTTTTATTGTAAATGATTAAAATTCTTTACCATAAAATGTTGGTTCAAGATAACTATTTTACATATTAATTTTTTTTTCTTTTTCAAAAGTGACTGCACCAGTTGTAGTTTTGTTAATGAGCAATACAATTGATGTCGATAAATGTCAAATATTAAACAGACATTTTCCCCATAACAACAAATCATGAGAATGACTTAACAGTGATCTATTATCCTTTTACTATCAATCAAACAAGCTATTCAGTGTGAATAGTCAAACTTTAGAAAAAGTTGGGTCAATTGAGTTGGAATATTGAACTTAAAGTGACAGATCCCCGTACATTTCAGGCAAATCATTTGATCCTTTCAGTGTATTGTATCAATGTATCTTACAGACTTTCAGAACACTGCCTTTCTCATATTTGTATAAGAAAAATACAACTATGTTAGCACTGTTCATATTGTGAGATTGTGTTGAGTAGTACTTATATTGTATACATTTTTATAGTATTCTTTGAATTTACTTTATATCACTCTTTAAGCATGTAGTAGAGTGCGTATAGATATGGGATTTGTCAATGAATGAATTACTGTGTATATATATTCATAAAAGTGGTGATTTCATTTTCATGGTAGATATCGAATAATGTGGATGAAAATCTTAGCATTTTTTATACATGTGTCTGAAGAGATTTATAGTTTTGATCATAATTGTGGTATTTTTAATGACAAGGGGAAAATCAAAGGATGGTAGTTGATGTAATGATGTGTTTTGATGGAAACGTTGATTGTTAAGCTAGCTTGTTAGCTAGTTATCATTTCTTCAAAGTAGATGATCATCGTGTATGTACCATTGTTTTATAAGTTATTGTAACATTTTTGTTGTGAACTTTTGTGATCTAGAAAATAAAACAAAACAAGTTTTTGTATAAAAAAACAGAAATGTCAATTTTCTTTGTAAAGGATTCTTTGTTGTACAACATATGCCTTGATGGCAACTGCTTTCCACCCAATACCTTACTTTAATGAAATTATTTGTCCCCCCCCCCCCCCCCCAGGCTAAACACTAAACCTTACCCTTACCCTAACCCTAAGAGTAACCTAAATCCCAATTCCGACCATTGCACCAATCATGAATCTTTGACATAAATAAAGTTTAGAGCAAGTGTTGCCAGAGTATGTCCAAGCATGAACTGTTTATTTCTCTCAACAAAACTCTGTCTCTCTCTCTCTCTCTCTCTCTTTCTATTTATCTCTCAGACTTTCTCTCTCTCTCTCCCTCTTTCTCTCTCTCTCTCTCTCTCTCTCTCTCTCTCTCTCTCTCTCTCTCTCTCTCAACTCATCAAAATGAAATAATACAAGCAGAAAACCCATAAACCTTTATGAATTTCTATATTCTCTTTATTTACTTTTTCATTCACTTTTGGACTAAACCATCAAATAATATAGTATTTACAAAAATAACCCAAAACATTCGTTCTATAAACATGACTTTTACATTTCAGCACCAATATGAAATAATGCATACAAAGTAACATAGTGCATACCTGATTATTAATTCATACAAAATGTTTCGTTTACATGATACAGTTCAAAAGATACAAAAGAAAACATATAAACTGTGTACAAAGCAAAGAAACAAGTTCATAAATATGAAAATACAATCACATCATTTAACATGTCTTTGTTTCTGAGAATACTAATTCATTCTTTACATTACAAGTGATCAATGAGTTGTTACTAGTAGAAGATAATCTTTTTCCCCCCATTTCATTATTACAAAGATTCAGAGCATTAAGAACTCCTACAAATTTCCCAAGTTAATCTTTATATTCTGTATTTGTCATCACAAATGTATTTCAATTTTTCTTCACAAACAAATCTTTCCAAATAACAATAAATGAGACCGTGGTATATGGTTTTATTTCATACATGTTTCTGCCCTCAACATCAGTTTTATGCCAAGCCTCAACTTTTATAATTGCTCATGATTAAAAAGATAATGCTTTAATTTGGTATCAAGTCCTTATAAATGTATAGGGAAATGTTCATGAGGGTATTTCAATGATTCAGCTCATGTGAGATTACTCTGGATTCTACAGATTAAGTTTGTGGGACATTGCATAATTTTCAAAAAATATTTTATAACACTAATTTTCAGAGCATAATATCAGTATTCAGACAAAACTGATTGAATCATATATCATCAATGAGAACTCTGATTTTCGATTCAAAATATCAAGAAATATTTAAAAATACATTGTGATATATTATTTTAGATATACTACATAAACATAGTTGAATGCCATTACTACAGAACTGTGTGAAGTGCAAATAAAAAAAAAACTAAAATCAAATAAATGATGTGGGACACAGTAACAACATGAGTTTACATTCACACAACATCCTTTAAAAGGGAATGTGAAATGCATATGCAAAAAAAATGGTTGGTATGATCCAAAAATAGATTCCATGAATCTTTCATCATTTCACATACTAATAGATAATGTGATATTGTATGTCAATTAGAAATTCACAGCTCAATCGGGAGATAAAAGAATAACAAATATTGGAAGAAAAAAAATGACTGAAGTACACCAGATATCTCCGCCTATTATGTATCACAAATGCTCATATGATACTATAACAGAATTAGTATAAGTATACGGTAAGTATATCGATCTATATTTACGAACATTATACTAAGTTTATAGGTGTATACCATACCTGTAAATGTGCTATCATAATGTCAATGAAGTTGAGATCATACAATGAATCACAATGCAGATTTCACTAATCCTGAATATTTTTGAAAATCTTGTATGATAAGAGATTAATAATCAATTTCTATTCAATTTTTTAATTTCATCATTTTACTACGTCATTCCAATTTTAAAAATCTGGCAATTTGTTCTAGGTGATACATATTATATCAAAGTTTGAAAGGTGTTCAACAAGTTGAGACAAATGTTCTATATATCCCATACCTATGTTCAAAATATGATTGTTCTTCTAAACCAACCTAAGTAACTTATACCACATGACCCCCCCCCCCCTCCGATATCAGTTCATATTCTTATAAGTAATACAAGGCACTTTTTCAGTCTTCCTCTTTGAATCCCCTTCCAATCCCCTCTCAGTGAAAGACAATGTAATATCCTGTAAAAGTAATAATTTAGCAGTCTCTGAGTTTGACAAAGTTCATTGCATAACAACCATAATACTGTCAAGATATGTTTCCTTGCAACAACTATGGTCTACAATCAAGACAAACGTGCATACATGCACATTTTTACAAAACCATTCAGCAACAAATTCTTTGGTTACAAGTAAACAGAAATGATAATCAACTGCTTTTTTTAATGACTTGCCCTTAACATTTACCTCAAATGATTCTTTTTAATTTTCATTTCAAACCTACCGGTAAATCATATGAATAAATACCAAAAAAAGTTGAACAGTCAGTCAAACCTAGCCTGTACCTCTGTAACAAGAACCCTTCCCAAAAATTCATTTTCCATTCATTTACATTTTGTAGGATCTCTTTAGCTTTGTTCTCACATTCATCAGTTCTAGTTATTTGAAGGGATGTTTTGGGCAAGTATGTAGTGGCCAAGCAAACTGAATTTCATCTTGGGTCTAGATATCTATGAAAGGACACACCATATTTGACTGATAAAGTATTGTGCCACTATAAAGAAAGCATCCGTGTTATCATTGATGCTTATTCCAGAATTGTTTACATTTTCCCCGTTTTTTTCATTTTATAGTGTGTCATATCTCTTTCCAAAATTTGTCAATTGAATATAATGAAAGATGTAAAATTTGATATGATAAATCATACACTACTATAATTGAAGAAAATGTTCATATGAGAAAAAAATGAATGCACGAAAAGAAGAAAAAATTCTTTTCCCTTGTCAACCTCATCAAACAATCAAATTCAACAAAGCATAATCTATCAAAGCATTTAGAACTTGTCATTTCTCACAAAAGAGCAACACAAAAAACAAATTATTTAACAATATTATATATCATTCACATTTTAAATATCTAAAAATTTCAGTTTGCTTCTTATCCTCTTACAAATCAAATTGATCATAAAATCCACCGAAATTTTAAATTACATTGATATTGAATTCAATGTTTTGACAATGAATGTGATAACATGTTATGACTGGAAGAATATATGAACATACAGTTATAAATTGTGTCATGCATTTGCCCATCCATTAGCCATAAGATGCCCTTATAAAATCTCTTACATCAGAAGGGCTTATGAGACAACCACAAAAACCACATGATATTCATGAAACAACCTTAAAAATGGTATCCATAATACTTCTGACCAAATGCAAAAGAGAAATAGAAAAAAAGGGGGGGGGGGGGGGGTGACAGGAAAGAAAAATGAAGAAAGGTAAGAATGGTAATATGAACAATACAATAGATCACTGAAGGACAGAATATATGCAATTTTAACATCTTACTTTTGTCATTTATACACTAAAGTTAGCACCATGTTTGTTTACCTAACATTTCATTAAATTTACACAATTTTCAGTAAGAGGCCACTAGCAAATGCTGTCTTACAAAATGTCATTATCAATAAGGCCAATTACATGGAGCTTTAATAAATAGCCCCTTTATAGTTCATACGGTTTTAAGAGAAAAGGAGTTGTATCAGAGAATCCTAAGTTTTTTGCCATTTCTAAGGAGATGTTGTCTAATGAATTATATAAATTATATTGACAGAAATACTTGCATTTATCATTATTTTGGGGGATAATAAACTTTGAGTTGACCACAGAACCTTAACTTCACATTAACTTGCAAGTATAGCAGATTTAAAAATGACAATGAGTTCACTTAATATTTTTTCCCACCAACATAAAACTGATCATTCTTTCCCATATTTTGTCTCTCAATAACATGTACAATGTAGCTAAACAGTTTATTCCGCAATGTACAGACTCAGACTGAAATGAACGGTAAATCATAAATAAATATATACAGATATACTGAGATATAGAATGTAATGCACACAGAACTGAATTCCTGCACGATAAGATCACCTGCAGCAATAATCAGAATAAGATATGTAGATAACTTTGACATGAGTCTTTTCTCATAGCAAAAATAATCATATTTACAGGCGACTAACAGAGGCAAGATGTAGTAATATACCAAATCATTTTTTTTTCTTACAAAATTAAGATCTGGCATATTTTTGATACATTCTGTTATATTACAAGTATGGAGAGTTAGCCAAAAATATATTTGAGATGAATTTGCATAATTGTAAAATGGCACCATTATATTTTTGGAATATCAATAGAAATTATGAACAACTACATTACCAAACCGCTCACTCATCTGGCTTCTTAAGTAAAAAAAATCAGACAAATAAATTCTGTAATCTGATCCCTTTTAATTTAGAGTTCTATTTTGTTGTATAAACAAATAGGCAATAATTTAGATTAGGTGGTAATCCGTACTACAGTAACTAAAAAAATCTATGTAGAAAAGGTATTGAGACCAACAAATTCCACCTTGAAAGCTCCCTAGCACAAATCAGTGTGAAAGATTGCTATCCAATATCTTTTCTACTTAGACCAATTTTACAGTTTCAGTTATCTTTAACGTTATCAGAAATACAGTCTAATCCATCTTAATTAGTGGTCATTGCTCTATGAAGGACACTTGTCTGTAGTGGTCATGTGTTTTGTCTCCCTCATGAAAGAAATGTGTGTTGTACTTGTAGAACCTGTCTAGAAAGGCCACCTGTCTACAGTGGTCACTATCTCTATGGGTGGCCTCAATAGACAGGTTTGATTGTATGTCAAGATTAACATTAGGAAGTTTAACTTGAAGTAAGTTTACTTTTAACAGTAAAAATGTATGAGTTGCATAGATCAAAGGAAGCCAATTACGATTTATTGAGGACTATGTATGTCATCATTTAAAGCCCTTTTTAGGCTATTGTCAATTATCATATCAACCGTACCCCCCCCCCCCTTCTCCCTCAAAAAAGTTTCTAATACTTTTCTTGCAGTGTCTTGCAGATTAGAACTGTGTCCAGTTTAGAATTGTGCCGCGGCAGCAGGTTGCATCTGAACGAAATGACCGTTCTCTACACCGGACCACGACCCTTCCTCATCACCACCACCGTTCTGGTGCTTGGCCATCGGGTTACGACTGATGACCAACTCCAGCTTGTTACCAGAGTCAGCGATGAGCGGTACTACCATGCAGCAATCAAAGTCATGGGTCCGCGTCTGGTTGATCTGTAGCAAGAAGAGAGGATTTAAAGAGACAAATTTAGTCTGAATTGTTTAATGGCTATCGTACAAACGTAAAATAAATATGTGTATGTAGTGCCCATTATATCACCGGCTGAGAGCCACTTAAGGCCCATTTGGCTCTTAGCAGATGAATTTACCAATTCAGAGTGTTTCTAATACAAGCCATTATCCAGTTAATGGCCGATAAGGGATAAATTTTGCATAATAGAAACTGACCTTTTCCGCTATTATCCGGATAATGGCCGTGAGAGCTGTGACGCCTTCACAGGCAAAATTATCCTTCTTTTAGAAGGATATTGCAGGGGAAGCTAAGCGAATAACATCAGTAGAAACTCACGCCGTTCCGATTGAGTGCATATAACGGAGAGAAACCGGCAATCGGAGTGATCACATGATCAGAATATTTTACCCAGAGGGCCATTCCATGAGAAGAAGGACATGACATCAAAAAAAGAAATGTACCTCTTATGTTAATTCTTTGATTTATCACTAACCTTATGCCATGGATGTTCATAAAACATTAGGGCCTTTCAAATTCAATACAATTTATTTTTCATTTTTGTTGATTTCCTAAGATCTCAAACCATCATCAAAAACGTACATGTGGGACTGTAGATGAAAAAAAAACAATTTATTGCAGATTACACAGGATTCTTGTAATATTTTTTCCTGAAAATTTCGCTAAATTGAAAAAGATGAATATATTTCCATATTCTAAGCCTTTTCTAAGGGGTCCTGGGATATTTAATCTATTACATAGGGGTGAAAATGGCCTCCGGACAAAATGTAACGCGAGTTACCGTAACGTGAGTTACCGACATATTTGCTTCCTGAATTTTACTAGTCCATTGTTTCTTATCTTTAATATTGTGATCTTATACTAGTAAGTCTCAACCTACTATCAATGTAGGAAAGATTTTGTCAAGATTGTCTAGTATGAGGAGACTTTGCCAAAAGAGGGTCTCATAGAATTGACCATGTCCTTTTTTTGTAACGCAAGTTACCAAAATTCAATAATCCAAGAATCTAAAAATGTTTGTTCTTCAATTTTCTTTTTTGTTTCATTCAGTTGTTCTATATCTACCCTGTCCATGTTTGAAAAAAGTATCTTGCAGATCCTAGCAGTTCTAAAGATATAGGCACATTATCGTGTCAATGTACCCATTAGGTGTAACGCGAGTTACCATGGAATGGCCCCAGATACTAAAATCCCAGGTTTACCTAGCAGTCCCACAATACTTTGCAGTGACCTTAACCACAGTCACGCTTACCGGTAGATAGAAACTGCCCATTCCCTGGTATTATATGCTATTTTCCTACTCTCCATAAAACTTGAAAGAAAGGTATACAATATGATAAAATGTACATCATTCTTCTTTTTTATGATACACCCTGTACCACGTCCATCGCGCCAAGCAATTTCAAGCCCGATTACAGCCTCCGGGGGATGCCGCTCCATTCATACCGTCCAATTTCCAGCCACTTCCAATGTTGACATTCCCTATTGATTGGTGTGAGTGGGGTGTGAGTGTGTATAATGATTGTACTATCCTTCTACTACCACCCATCACATCTCATATCATCTCATGATATTAATGAGGAGAGTTGTTTCACACAGAAGCATTATATTCTGATGCATAATCAGTAACATCCACAATTGCACTCATACAACTATGAATATTTCCCATTTTGCTATTGAATTTTTTTGACAATTTGACAATTTTGTGTAAATCAAGACCTATGAAAATTAGCACCAAGGGCAAAATGAAATTTGGAGGGGGAAAATTCATTACTTGATTCTAAAATTTCAATGGAATAGAAAGAAATTGACCATTCCATACTATTGCTCTTTGAAGTTCCAACCACCATTCTCTTTCTTAAACAAAAGAATGTTAGCAAATATACCGCCATAGTATTCTTACAAAACAGGCTGCACATGTAATGCAATCTGTCATATGATAGTTATCCACATCATGTAATACTTGATGAATGATAACCATCATTTTCTTCAAATGAAAACATTAACTATATGCACATTCTATCTCCTTGAATCGGAAAGCAAATTATTCCATCAACTATTAATGGACATTGTAAGGACATACAAGTACAAGTACACGTACAGGTATATAAAATGAAGCAGAATGCATTTCGATGTGTTTTACTTGGGACACCCTGTATGCTCCTCATCTCATCCCACATGCACACATAATAGATGCCATGGGGAAAACCCATTCTGAGATTCAGGGACTCCCACAACCACTGGCTCTGTTGATGCTTTCAATCAAGAACGATGTAAGAGGGAAGAGCGTGCAAGGCTTGAAGCAATTTACTTGCAGAATTCATTCACCTCCTATCCATCTTGTCAGCCCACTCTCACTCTCTCTCTTTCTCTCTCAGCCTCCACATCTACAGTGTATCTCTCTCTCTCTCTATCTGTGTCCCTCCTCTCTCTCTCTCTGTCTCTCTCTTCTCTCTTGCTCTCTACGTCTCTTGGTCTGGGTGTGTGATGTGTATATGTGTATGCCACTATGCCTCTCTCCCTCATTCTCTCTCTCTTGGTCTGTCTGTTGCTCGGTCTGTCGAGAGCTCTCCGTCTCTCTCTCTCTCTCTCTCTCTGCATATTTGCTAATGGTCAACAATCTTTCACTCTCTCCCTCCTTAATAATTCAATAACTCAATGCCCATTAGTTTATTTCTCTATTCTCTCTTATCATTTTCATCTTTCCTTACAGTTAGTATGAACTTACAACTTACAACTTAACAGTGCTATTTCATATAAGAGAGCAATTCACTCATTGAAATATGAACACAGGAATGGAAGAAAAAAAATCATATCACTTGTTAGTTGTTAGCATTATTACTTGTTAGCATTTATATTATTTCATAGAGTAATTGACATCAAATATGCCTTAGGGAAATTCTAAAAAGCTATCATCTCCATGAGCACACTAAAGCTCTCCTACACTACAAGTGCATTTTATTGTTTTCTTCAAAGAGACTACACGTTTGTCTTTAAATCCCTATGATATCGCTTTATTTCCATAGAAAAGAGTCCATGCTTGTTCAATCATCATTAGTGTCATCATGTTTCTCTCCCTTTCCTCTCTCCGCCATTCCCCTCCCTTCCTCCAACCCCCTCCCCCCCCCCCCCCCTTCTCTGAATCTGTTTGTACATATGTCTTTCTCTGTCTCTTTCTATCTTCATCAAATGGCCCAAACAGTGAGTGTTAACACACATGAGCTAAATAAAAAAGATCTGCATTGCAGTTTTTAGCATGCTGGCTGTGTGGATTTCAGACCAGTGAGACTCATGTTCAGCCAGCCTTACTAGGCTTAGCATTCATCTGTCACCAGGTTCATGGATGTCAGTATGTTGTGATAGGATTTATGTTGTACAAACATCCTGACACCTATCAAACTCTACACTGGTAAATGATTTTATTATAGTGCAACTGCTATCACTTCAATATCATATGACAGGTTTCACTCATGCTCACAGTTTGTATATTATTTTTACAAAAATTTCTGACTTGTATTCAATTAAAGATCGATCAATCAATCTTATTTACTGGGTGTAAGCCACAAATATGTTTAATAATTGAAATTTCTCCCAGGAAGCATTACATTTCTAATGAGTTTGTATATTGTTTGTCTATTATGTAAATCTTATTTTTAACTTTCTTCTCCGTGAATACAAATTTATTGTATTTCTTCTATAAATATTATTCAGTACAACATCAATGAGACTGTCAAATGCATATTTTCAAAGACCATCCTCACAGAAAAAATTCAATAACATTCACTGCTAGTTCAGGCTTTTCCTCACTATTGAAATCCCACTCTTTTAATACTGGATTAATCGCATTTCCTCCTCACACTCTAATCAAGTTATAGTTTTTTGACGTTTTTGAAACCACTGAAGGGGAAGTAATAACAAGATCTTTCTCTCACTCACAAACACAGGTCCTTCACAAAGTGGAAGTAAGCAACACAATCTATTGTTGCACCATTCCAGGCATGCAGTTGCTAATGGCAACAGTTGCCGTGGGAGGGACAGATGAAACGCTGACGATCTGACCATTCATAATTTGTTTACAACAAAACAAGGTCATTTATTACTCTACTATAAATTGCTACAATTGTCAACAGAGTGGAGTAATCTGTATTGAACACTGCTGTGAAGCTCAAACACTGGCAATCCTTTCATACCCTTCATTCAATTTGAATACTGTAGGGTAGTCCGGTACAGGCAAAATATTCAAGTGAAGTTCATAAATTACACTCCTACTGACGGAGAGGGTTTGAAAAACATCCTCTATGAGAAGAATTATACAGGTAATGAATTGTTTATCAAAACATATTTCAGTCACATACCATTCATGTCACTATGACAGCAGCTTTGACCTTAAGGTCAAGTGATCTAGGGACTCGTAGTTTATTGCATGAATAATGAATTACTTGTTCAATTCTAAGATGCGGCACTTGGACTGTTTGGTTTGTCATACATTCATACATTTAATCATCAGCACCTGCATTTTCATATATAATAACTACACTATACTATCATACCTCTTTCCTGCCATAATATTATTTATTCTATTTGTTCAGTGATAACAATACAATAAGATTAAATCAAGATTATTTTTTTTTGTCAAAGCCACAGTCATTATCATTATAATCATCATCATCATCATCATCATCATCATCACCATTACCGGCATCACCTTTATGTCGATACCATCATCATCAAGTTATAATCTTCATCAAGTCATCATCATCATCATTGCCATCCTTCTTCATCATTATCAATGTCATCATTAACAAAGTCCAAGTATTCCTGTGGTAAATCAATGAAGAAGAAAAAACTTTTTTTTTAAATTAAAAAGCTTGTCTTTTAAAGGCAAATAGAATGAAATAGAAGGAAATAAATGGTCGACTCACCTGGAGTATCCTATCAAAAGGCTTGACATTGCCACTGCGTGAAGCTGGTCCACCAGGTCTCACAGTGTTCACAAACACACCCTTGTCTGATATGCCATCGGACACACTGAATCCAAAGTCCTCTACATCACTGTCCTTCTTCAGAGACACCTTGTGGAGCTCCACCGGTGCAGGGTTCGGTGCCTCCGATACCGTAGACTCATCTCCCAGGTGTGAGGCATCGTTCTGATTCATGACGTTCTGATGCGTGGTGTTCACACTCTCACTCTTGGAGCTGAAGCTCTCAAACTGGTTGTATCCACCCCCACCCCCACCCGTAGGAGCATGGGGCGGTAGAGTGTAGCTATGAGAGGAGTCACTGTACATCTGAAGAGAGCTCGTGCTTGGTTTACGTCCCCCGACCGTGCCCGGTTGGTTGAGATAGTAGCCATGACCGACGCTACCGGCCCGTCGCATCTCGCTCGACGTGAACTGATCGGTGTTGAGGAAACTAGCTTCCAGTTGACGTAGAAACTCTCTGTGCTTGGCGATCTGTGCTTCGTGAGGATGGTAACTATGCTGAGAGTGGGCGTAACTGTCGTCTTGATCTGAGCTCAGGATGTCGACTGGATATGATCCATTGGCACCATTGACGAAAGCCCTTCGCCGCTCATCAAGCTCATCTTCACTGGCATCATTGGGTGACGTGGAGTGTGACGAGTTGTGCACCCTCCTAGGGCGGTTGCTTCGTCTTGAAGGAGACATGCTGCTGCGTCGGGAGCGGCTGGTCTTCGGGGAGTGGGAACGAGAGTGATGCGTGTGGTTGCTATGGTAACCGGTATCCATACCCGAGCCTTCCCATGAGTCTCCATTGGTCTGGATCATGACCGGCGTTGCGATGTGGTCTGCGTCGTAGTGTGTAGCTACTCTACTAAACCTACTAGGGCTCTGGCTTCTTGATGATGGTTTGTTGCCCTGAAAATAAAAACAAATTTCACAATATATTCTCAGACAACCACACACAAAAACTGGAATGTGATGGAATGAATGTGAATGTCACTGTTATAAGAAGTAGAACATTCATGTGACACATGAACAATAGCTAACCGAATTAAAAAAAGAAAATAAATATGTGTCCTTAGATACAACGAGAAAAGAAAATGTCAAGAATTTTCCTCTGTAAGATTGATTTGACACAAATACCCCTAACTTCAACAAATAATAAAGGTTAAACATTGAAAATACGGCTATAATATCTTTCTCATAAGTTTCCTATAAATAGGCAAGATAACAATGTTTTAACAACATTCATTTCTTCTTTTGTTGAATACTTGCAAATGAGGGCTCAAAACTTCTTGCATCGACCCATACAACCTCGTTCTTCGCTACAAACCTCACATTCACACAGACCCAACATTATAATCATGAGATCATCTCACCTGGTCATGTCCCCGGTGCTTCTCCTTCTTGCTGATCTTGAGGACCACCGTGTCTCCAGCAGACTGCAGGAGACGGATAGCTTCAGACAGTGTCTTGCCCTTCAGCGAGACACCATTGATGGCTAGTAGACGGTCGCCCAAGTGGATAGCACCAGTCCTGAAAAATAATAAAGAAGAAAGAAAAAAAAAGGATTCCATGGGCACGTTCTATAGACTTGATTCATAATAACAATTGATTTAGTACTATTATTAATTTTTTTGAAGTATGACAAATGAAACAACTACATCAGATTTAACACAATCCCTGCTGCTAATATTAAAGGTAAGAACACTTAAATGTGAATGTACTTTAAATATTGGGCAACTCAGTAATATGGGGAACTCATTAAAATTATTCATGAAGATTTTGTATGCAAAACAAATCTTTTTTTTATCATGTTCTTTTAATCCAAAATAGTCATATATATTGATTCTTCATCTAGTGACAAATGGAATTCTCTTTGCACAGTAACTTAATATGCAAAAGATAACAAAAAACTTACCTCTCAGCTAGACCATTCTCTGTGAGTCCAGAGATAATTACAGGATCAAAGGGTTCTTCCGTTCCTGAGATTGTGATACCCAGCGGACCACCATGTCTGACTAGCTCCACCGAGTAGGATATTGCACCGCTTACATCAGGCTCATCTGGGCAACAAAAAGAGAATAAACAGCAACCTTAGATGAACTCTATCAATCTGCTAAACATGTCTAGGTAATGATTCTTGCAATAACAATGATATTAGTTATAGAAATTATTTCTCAAGGTGCTTACAAACATGATCTGATAAACAGTGAACTTTAACTCGCCAAATAATCTTACATACAACCCTATAAATATTCCTCTATCATAACATACAATGTGTAATAGAGTCATGTTTGAAAATACAATGGGTAGCACATAATGGGATCCATTAATTTTCAATCAGAAAAACTGACCCTATAAGCCTTGACATAACGACCTTGTACATATCAGATTCTAGCCCGACAGATCATATACTGTTACCGAGCATAAATTGAACCCCAATCCAGTTTTCAAGGAGGAAAGCCTGCTCGTCTTCTTACCTGAATAAGCCTCATTCTTCTTGACCTTGAGTTTGACGATTTCATCTGCCTGAGCCAATAGATGCATGGCTTCTTCTACTGTAATACTGTCTAAATGGATGTCATCTATGGCAAGAACTTGATCACCTGGTTCTAACGTACCACTCCTAGAATGTCATGTAAGAAAATCATCATATCAATACCAACAAGGCCAACACCAGACCAACAACCGACCGAACAAAAAAAGTTGGATTACCCCTATGGCAAAACATAATTCAGTTTGGAGTGGGTGTGGAGTCAGTTTGACAGTGTGACTGAGGTATTAAAAGGAATTGAATGTTCTTCTGTGAATTGAAGACTAACATGCAGGTGAAAATATTATTTTCATCTCTAATCATCAACCAAATTCATCCTTAGTGACATTTCTACTAACATTTTATTACATAACATAACATTTGCTAAGAATTTTCATTTTTCTGTCAAGTATAAAATGTGTCCATGTTTTTACAAGATTCAAATAAAAAGAAAACATCTCTTTTTCATTACCTGTTTGCTACACTGCCCTTCTTCACTGTTGATATAAGAAGCCCATCACCTAGCCTTCTGTGTTTAAGACCTGAAATATAGAAGAAATCAAACATATAATCAAACACAATAATTTGAATTGTCTTAAAATGAACTAGCAGAATCAATTTCCTACAGTTGTTAGTTCACCACACGCACACACAAAAAGATATCACTCTTAAAACTGCTGTATGGGTGACATAGGTATTGATATGTTACTAACTTGAGTTTGACAGAATTCATAAAGTCAATACTGTATGTAATTTTCATCAAACAATATAGAGTGCTTCTAATTAATGCAGGTTTTCATTAAATGTGAACCAATATTTTGCATCCTTCTTACACATTCATAACAAAATAGGCTCAGTTCTACCAATGAACACCAGATAAAGGAAAGTATGACTTACTTGTAAGTGTTATACCAAGACCCATCTCACTGACAGGTAACTTGACATTGAAGACACCACTGCTAGGTACAACAGACTCTGTAAACATAGGGGGAATTGTAAAAGGTTACAGGTTATAGCCATACAGCTTCAAATTGTGTTGTTAGATCCATTCTAGGACTTATATATATATATATATATAATATAATTTGAAATATACACAAAGAATTATATTGAAGATATTTCCCCTGATTATGGATTGAATTTTGATTCACAAATTAATTTTAGATTAAATGACATTTTTGCTTCCACTGACACTTGTTGAAATTTCTTTAAATTAATACATATCAATGTTATTGCATAACTTTTCATGGCTAATGATCTCATTCAACTTAGATTGAAGTGAGTTACACTGAAATTCAGACATACTAACAAATTTCTTACCTGCAATATCAAACTCTATTTCCAATGTGACCTGTGGTGCACTTTCCCTCAAGATATGATTAGCTTCGTCTGCTGTCATATCTTCTGTGTAGCTACCATTGATAGCAATCAAACGGTCACCAGGCTGCATTACACCACTCCTATAAGGCACAGAATATAAGAGCATCAGGATATCGTCATCAAGGCTTTTACCTGATCAAACTCATGTTGCTCAAATTATAATACATTACTGTAAGTATAAAAGATCTAATTGAAAGTAGAGGATTTACTGTACTGTCATAAATTCAAATATACTGAAAAATTAGAAATGATTTGTACTTATCTTGTTGCCTCAGCACATGCTACCTGCACTACTGAATCATAAAAGCGCTAGAAAATCAACTGGATAAAAAATGTACTTGGAAACATTATTGAATATTGCTAGATAATTTCAGATTATGCAGCAATTGTCCAATCAGCTCTTCCCATTTCCCAGGTGAAGACAATGTCTGCAGCTCCCCTTTCTGTCTTCCAAAAGAAGTATCAAAAGAAGGGATAAAACTGCCTCTCTTTCATTTAAAGCCTATCTGCACTAATTTGGCCAGGAGGAATTAGACATCCTTGCGGGGTCACTGACAGGTGGTTATCTCACCAAATCCGCTCTCAATTAACATAAGAAAAAGGGGATCATGGGGGACCAACGGGTACGGCTTAGGAATTGTTTGCTATAAAGAGGGCGCAAGTAGCAACAAGTAGTGGAGTCCCGCTTTCGGCAGAGCTGGACTTACTTTTCAGCCTTTCCTCCTGGTTCTACGAATCCAACGACAGCAGGAGAGCCTAGGATCTCTGTAGCAAAGACACCACTCTGTAGCTGTATACCGTAGTCACCTGTCCTTGAGTATAGGGTTACATCAACAGAGTCTGTGTGGCATACTTGGGGTGATGATAGGCCATTGATGGTTGATGCAAGGGATACTGTGAGGACACAAGAAAGTGGAATAGATTAGAATGATGAAGATAAACGGCTGTGATTTGTATCATACCTACAGCATTGATGTGTGATTTATGGACTCTGGCATTGGAAAGACAAATATATTCATGAAACATAGGCTTAATTTAAAAAAAGTGGTATAGATTTTGTGGTTTCAAAAGATGGCACAATCTGTATTCATATTTTCCATTTAACCAGTGTACTTGGTAGAAAAAATTCTTTGAAGTCAAAATAAGAATACAATATTCGGCAGCTTCTGTCCTTTTGAAAGGTACATTTTTTTTTTAACTGCTTTGATTCACAAGATCGCTTTAATGATTTCTTAAGACTTCTTATTTGACTAAAACATTAAAACGTTAATTTGAAAATGAACTAAGTCAGATGTTCCTGTTGATATTTTGATGACTTTCAAAGAAATGTGTCTGTTAAAAAAAATCACTTTCATGGCTGAAAATCTGTTTTCACTTGCACAACGTAATATGAATGACATGTTGGGGTTCTGTTAAACTTACACATCGATCCTGTCTTATGTCCCTTCGATCTGAGTTTACGTGCCAAGGTACTGCTCTGTTGCCTTGTGTTCTGAGAGTTCATTGTTCCTACCCTAGACAGGCTACTATGGCTATACCCTGGCATCAAGGGGGTTGTTGATCGTGATGGTTGACCTAGGATTAAAAGGGGGAAAGTGTATCATTAGATGACATCAATAATTTGAAGCAATTTATGAAATTACAATGTTAAAGATAACCAACATGTCCTATAAGATCAATTTAATTCATTGCTAGAAGCTTTTTGTATAAGAAAAGAATAGCTGAACTAAAATGGGAACACAAGTCATGGAATTTGTTCAACGTGGTCATAAAATTGACACAGATGTTGTTGGTATGTTGATTAAGAAACAGGCCTTTCATGCTTCTGTATGCAACATTCGATAAATGGGCTTTCAAACTTATTCAAGATTTTGTCATATCATAAAATCAATACTATCACTTCACTGCTTATTTCAAAGTAAGAATATTCATCATCATTATTGTTGATATCACCATCATCTTCTTCGCTCTAATCCTTCTCCTCCTCCTCCTATTCCTCATCATCATCCTTATCATCATTACTATCATCATCATCATCACTAATACAGCATCATTTTGATAGCACATTTCCTGAGACCTACCTCCCAATTTCTGCATATCTCTCGAGTAGGTCAATCTAGGGGTCATCTGACTGACCGGTAGTATCTCTAGCTTGACCTGCTCTGTACCGGACGCTAAAAGCTTCATGGCTTCGGCTACACCCATGTGAGTAGTGGTCAATCCGTCAATGGTCAATATCTCATCACCAATATGAAGGGCACCACATCTGATAAATAAAAACATTATTCCATGTTGATATCCTCTGACATTTCAACTTGGTCAGCTTGATTTTATCAGAGAAAAACAATCTGGCTATCAAAATACATGAGAACCTGATATGGGCCATTATGGTGGCAATTTCACAAAGCTGGACCAATTATACAATTTGTGAAATTCTCATTTTATGGTACACTGAAATGGAAGATCAAAACATTCTACTCCTGTATGTGTAGCAAGTTAGTTTGCTGCCCTCTAGAGTAGAAATTCCATGTACATGTATGAAATTACAAAAGGATAGAATGGTAAAGTGTATAAAATATGATTTCACAAGCACTGTGGAATAGAAAAGGAAAAAGGAATAAATTACTCTGTATTATTGTTCATTTTGCACATAGAATTAAACACCATAGATCAATGCAAGTGACCTTTCTCTGAACTTGCTTTTCAACACTCTCTGACCACTAATCTCTCATCAGTTTCATTCTGCTTTTTGAAAGTATGGTGGTAGATGTCACAGCTTGAAAGTCAATTACAGGAATAAGTCAAATGTCCATTTCATGTCAGTTTCAGATGGAACAACTGCCTCACATTGTTATCTTGTAGATATCACCTCAACTTAATTAAACTGAAATAACTTGAGTGTTGTTTACTTCCTGAGGTAAGGTACACAAGTAGATTTCAAGCACCAGCTGTGTATAACATTCCTCTTTGTTGTTTTTTGTTTTCCTGTTTGATGTAGAACCATTACCTAAGTCGCTACAGCCCACTGTTGGTCATGCCGGCTTTTGGTTTTGAAAGTCGTCTGTCTTGTTGACTGTCAGTCTACTTATTAGTACTGGAAAGTCCTCCAATATTCTTAATTTGATTCAGAACTATTGGCTTAGACCCAAACCAAGGTCTGCACCCTAAAGGACTTACCTATCTGCTATACTGGCAGGCTTCAGGTTGTCTATGATTATTACTGCCTTTCCATTCCTTGGAATTGAGCTTAGTCCCACACCTAGATGTGCACCAGGGGTTTTGGAGACCTCTACCAGTAATGGACCTGTGGCATTCTTCACTGCCTCTGTAAAGTATGCATAAAAAGAAAGCAAAATTTATTACGATAGCAAGGATATTTGAATAACCTGGAGCAAGGTTGGTTGAAGAAGAAAAAGAAGTGAAAAGAAAGGATGAAAAAAAATGCTTTTGAAGACAAATATTAAGCTGCACATCAATTTCACTAAAAGAAGTGTGTTAAATGTATAGATATTTACACATAAATGCTGAAGAAATGAAACAATTACATATTAAAAAATAAGTAGAAAGAAAGGATGAAAATGAGAAAATACAAATAAAGGGATGAAGATGCTGTTGGATTTTAACTATTTGGTGGGAAAGAAGAGGGAAAATGGATAATACTTTTTGTAAAGACATGAACTATTCTGCACATCAAATATATTTCACTAAACAAAATATGTGAAATGTAAAGATATCTATTAAAAACATTAGATATGAAAGTAAATTTTAGATAAATATTTTTAGAAATATTCCAAGCCAGGCTTTTGAAATTAAAAACATATTTTGAACAAAATGCAAACACTTTTTAAAAGCAATAATGAGAATAGTACCCATGTAAAAATGTGGCAGTGGAAAGAAAGAATTTGTCATATTTGAACACAAAATAAAGAATAAAAATCACATTGTTTAGATGTCAATGACTGAAAACACAAAGAAAAAACAACCATATCCAGGCCATCAATACTGTTAGTAAAAGTTTTCTCTTTGAAAAGACTGTAAACAGTGCAGAGAGACAAAAAGGAAAAAAAGAATGACCCATATTCAAAAATTAAAAAAAAAGATTGATAGAGTCATCATAGAGCATCTGTGATCAACTTATCTTCAGAGAGATCCATGATTACAGCAAGCTTATAATTCATAGTCACTTTATTCTTGACCTGCTAAACAGTTACTACTATTTGAATAACTTAATACAACTGCTAATCTCTAAATTAATCCTACATTATGAACTATTTCCTTTACGATAACCCACATCAAGCTCCCTGTGACCATACACAATCCCTCTGAAAATATGGTCATAAAGAAATATGAGCGTTTGACACACCATCAGAGATATTAGACTCATTAGCTTTAGATAACGGTGATCTATGAAATTAAAATCAGATCCTGCACTAAATTAAGTTGCAATATGCGATACAGTGGAAATATTAATAATCTCACTTCAACTGATAGAGAATAAAGATATGAATTTGCTTATTTCAATATTAAGGACATGTTTCCCTGTCCTAATTATCTGTTTTAATGAATTCCTGGGATTATTTAAAGTTTACAACAAAAGTAATAAGCAGTTAAGGGAATATACTGCTTTCGAAATACCGGTAGTAGTATATTTCTTTATCCGCCTCAGATAAAGAGCATAATATTCCCCTGCATGTAACATTGCAACAAGTATCGTGGGCAACTTGAATTATGACAATAGGAATGTAACATCCTTTATTAGGTATTCTTGAGCATTTTTAAACTGGTATATATATATATATATATGATACTTAAAAAATACTGACTTCCAAAATCACAGACTGCTACACTACATGTGATTTGCATGATCCTGTCTAAATTCTCTAGTTCACTTTAAATATGAAAATATAGCTGAACTTTCAGCTCAGGCTGTTAAAATGGTCTACAGCAATCTAGTAACCATATCTCAAGGCCAGTTTTACACTTTTGGAGGCTGTTCCTTTCTACGTCACATGGGTGCAAGGAGTGACAAGTCATATGCCATACTGAGATCAGTTAAAAAAGTTCCTATCTACAAATCTTTCTTCCTTTTGCCATTTACCAGGTACTTCTCAACCATGATGAAGTCCCTCAAATGATTAAAAGATCTATATCAAGGGCTAGGAATAGTTCAAAGTTTGTACAATGTTATCAGGGGAGATGAAAAGACAAGTTAATGACAATCTATCACAAAATGGAAGTCATAATTTCCCCCAATCAATTTTGAAAGACCCTGACTCATCAATAGTTTGAGCTAAATTCAATTTAGTTTTCAGTTCTACTCCTTTAAGCACTAGTTCTGACATTCAGTCTCTTAAGAAGCTGAGAAGCTTTCTTCTGAAATGGTTCTAAATTTCAAAATGTATTATTATCATTCTTTTTTTACATAAATTGTAAGTTTTACCATTTAGTTAAAAACCATCAAGGTAATGGAGTGAAGTGGTCCTGGATTCTTGTAATGGTGGTAAAAAAATTAAACATGTAACTTCTTACAATTGTCTAAGCAATAGCTTCCACTGACTTAAATTTCACTCAACAAAAGTAAGCATTTAGTGACTACAAAATAATGGAATACAAGATAATTAGAATGTATCTACTACATCCTTGTGATATAGCCACCTATCGTGTAAAACCCAAAGAAACCGGACGGTCTCGTTCTAGCCTAGGTGAAAGCATGATGAATGATTGGCCAATTTGTATCAATTTCCATTTATAATGATGATGAGGGAGAGGCAGATGTTTGACATGTGTTTGACAGATGCATCTACTTGGAAGTGACAAATGTATGACACAATGTTAATCAATCAAATGTTAATTTCAATAGGTAGTTTAAATATTCTCAGGCTAATCTCCTTTTATCTTTTTTCGCAGTGTTCAATTAACAGAGAAAGAGACAGAGAGAGCGTGAAAGGAAAGAAAGGGAGAGAGGGTACAGTGACAGAGGAGAGAGAGAGAGAGAGAGAGAGAGAGATGGTGTGAATAATTTGCAAGAGAAAGACATATATAAACGGAGAGATACCAAGAGAAAGAGATGAAATTTATTGAATTAAAATATTGTACATGTGATGTAACTTTAAAGAATCTATCCAACAAAATTTGGAGTGACTTGAGGAATTTTCTGTCAGGAAGTATAAATTCAATTCTCTATTATTAGCTTTATAACAACTGTGAATCATTGCATAATGCTGGTACGCTGCCAGATGTTTGTTCACATTAACATAGGGTCTGTTCTAATTCGTTCTAACAAGTGAACAGTCACATCCCATGGAGATTTAATACGGACCAGTGACCTTCTGCGCTTACAACCTCACAAAATCTCATCACGTCCAAGATGGGGTGTGGCTACTCTAAAATAGCCGCTCTTAAAAATAGCCGCATCATATTCAAGCTTGGATAGCGTGTAAAGCCCGGCCTTGGAACATCAGCTCCATGTAATCATGAATAACTTCCCACTTGTCATTCGAAAAGGATTATAGGGGCTTAGTCAACCATGATTCACCATCGTCCTCCTGTCTCAATTCCGAGTAGAGTATGGGGCATTGCAGGCAAATCAAAACATCGATGTCAAAATTCAGAAAATGAAACAGGCTCATTACAGGAAATGGATTATATCAAAGGAAGTGTCATTAATTTGGAGTAGATGAATCAAAGTCAAAATCAAAATTCAGACATCATCATTAATTTTGAACAAATTCAAGTAGATTCTGATTTAATCACTACTCCCTGCACTTTCCATGCATGCATGGTCCTTTATGCCTCCCTTCTCAAACATGAACTTTGTTTGCAAAACAGCTAAATCATTTCTTTCTTTCTTTCTTTTTCTACCAAATGTTTCTCAGAGGGAGACATCTTAGAACCGTGGTTCGATATTCAAGATCCCAGGAGTAAAGGAAAAGTAAAAAAAGTTCCCAGAAGGACTGTTAGAAGGTATAGTGAACCCAGTGAATCATATACCGGTAACATGAAACATCTGCTTCCTGTTTCATCCTTTTTTTTCCTTAATTTACATCCAGTTTTTTTCTGACTAATAAAGTACCAAAAAGGAATATTTCTTACCTATTTATATATAAGAGTTTATTTAAAGTTATTAAATATCTATTATAGACAACAATGAGGCAAACAGTAGACTGCTACAGTAATCTAATATTTATATACGGTTAAGGGTAGAAATCAATTTTTTGGGGAAAGGTCATACAGGCAGAGAAACAAAATTTGACTTTAAAAAAAAACCAGGTACCCCTTTGCACAGGAAGTAATTCAATATCTTTGTCAACAAATGCCTGGGCTATCAATCAAAAAATATCAGAGGTGTTAAATTTGGGTGTCTCAGCTCTTTTCTCAGCACATAATCTTGGTTACTTCTTTAGCTGCAACAATATTTAACCTTTCCATCAGATCACCTGACTTGGTCACCTGACACGAAACTTGAGCTCCTTCTACCCATCACCATTATCTTTGGCCTGCATCACAAGACATCCAGTAATCACTTTACCCAATATCCACACCATTTCCTACATGAATTACCACAAGAGAACCTTGACGTAGGCAACTCTTTTTATACCTTATTATTCTCTAGATTCTAAACACGCTTTGTCATCTTATCGTTCTATCTCCAAACCTATAATCCACTTTGCTCTTTCCTTACTTTTCCCCTTTGGTGTTGCTGATGGATGTCAGTTTATAAATATATTCATGTCTCAGTGGCCATTTTAATCTGATTTGCCTCGTTAAGAATAAATGTTCTCTGTTCCTACATGCTACCTCTAATATCATTAGGGGAAAGTGATGATGAACACAAAATTACTATTTTACATTGAATGGAAATTTGATTTCTATAAAGAGTTTGAAAGAATGGTTGGAAATTGAGTGAAATTTCATCAAATTTCGGTCTAATTCAGAATAATTAAGTTATGTGGAGTGATGTGATTGCAGCAATGGTTTCACTTGTATGGTCAGTCATGCTGCACACATGAAATACAGCCAAACGTATTATTAACTCAGGAGAAGTGACGATGAAATCAAATGACTCTTTTACATTGTATGGAACTTTGGTTTCTGTAAAGAGTTTGAAAGAATGGTTGGAAATTAAGTGAAATTCAAATGAAACCTTTAACCCAAAGTCATATCAAGGTAGCATTATTCATGTATGTCCTTAATTAGCAATTGATCAATAAAGTGAGCTTTAAGCATTGTATTCTACATGTAACAAAAATACCAACGAGACATTGCAACACAAAAATGTATTTTTTAAAAGGAAACAAGTAATATTAATGCATGCTCTCATGAGAACACTCCAAATAAAACATTAGAAGCTGAATAACAAATAAAAAAACAAAGCAATGAATACTCCAACAAAGGAAAATGAAATGAACAAAAGACAACCAGCAGAAATGAAAATACTATGTTATTACCTTTGATTTAGTCACTGTGCACAGAGTGATGGAAATAAGAGGTAAATGAAGGGTTAGAAAAGATGGAGTTAGTGGCATACATTTGAAAGTGGTTTGGGTGGTTACAGGTATACTAAATGGTAATGATTTGTGAGGATAAATTTACATTGATATGACTCTTGATAAAGAGTGGGTGTAGGGTGGTTATAGAAATGATACAAGTGAGGGGAGTTATATTATATGAAGATACAAGGCTTGGATAAAGCCATTTATTGAGAATTTCGAGGAAGATGACCAATTTCTGAGGTATGATTATTATATTATTATAAACAAAACAAGAACAGCAAATACAAATTTTAACCCCTATCCTAATTTGTCAATCAGCTTTCACAAAATTTTGCCTGGTATACCAAGTATACCAAGCAAGTAAGTAATTTTGAGAACTAATTTAGCGATGCAAGAATTCATGTGGTCATCAAGCCTAACTAAGTCAAATACTGAATAGAATATGAAATCTATTTTGCAATCACTTTTGAAGAATAATGAATAAATTGGGCTGTTTTTAAAAGTTGTAATAGTACACATAATCAAATGTTTTTATTCTACATAATTGGTCTTCTACTTTTCAGGAGGTTTTTTATTACATTTATTAACCCATTGGCTACTCAATTCTCTCATTCCCCTAATGCTAATACAGGAACCCAAATGCAAAGGGTCAAGGCAATTGAACCCTAGACCTATCATGATGAGCAGCTTACAATAAAACCACTCAACCACCATACTTACCCATGATAGAGACATCATATTCAAATCTCAGCACAGCGCTGTTGCCTCCTTGCCTAATGATGTTGAGTGCTTCCATATGAGAGGCCTGACCCAGGTTCGTTGTCTCCACGGCTACCAATCTATCACCAACCTTCAACGACCCCTCCCTGAATGGGTCAAAGGTTAGAACGGATTAATGTGTTGGCCGTCTTCCATTTTATGAAAGACGTTAGTTATCAAGTAGAGATAATGGGTCTATTCATCATGCCTGAGAGAGATCTCTTAGTTTAGGATTTCTTTCATGAAATACATCAATCAATCGTCATGAAACCCATCTTCTCTCTCTATTGACATACCAGTAGAAGTACCTGATAAACAAATTTCAACAGCGATCTTCTATTGTATTTGAAGCTGAAGTCTTCCATCTTATACTTTGGATAAGAAATGCTCCTGTGCTCCTAGATTGGAAGTTTTACACCAAGAGGTTTGTAAGGTAGCATGTATGTTTGACAGCTATAATCATTTTTAAAAATTTCCTAGAAAATATTTTGTCTTTAAACATATCCAGTAATCTACGACAGTGAGAAAGTCATGTATGTGCACCTTTTCAACAAGTATCTTTTGATCAGATTTGATTCTCTTTCACTCCAAGGCCTGAACACTGATACACTGCACTTTGCAGAGGTATAAACAATTGGACTTCATTGGACCATTTGTCTAGAAACATCATACTGCCATTTTAAAGCCAACAGGATATTTGGGAAATTATCTTCAATATTTTTCAGCAAATTAGGTATGTCTAGATGCTTTGCCCATATTTCATATTTCCATATCAGACAAATGATCATGGAATGCAAATGAGCCATCTTTTTCCATAGGACCTAGGTAATCATTTCCCCTATATCTTAAAGACTGATTACATGTAATACTTTTAAGATCTTGTGTAGTCCTAACAGATGCTACACTCTATGTAATAGATAAGAATCTTTTACCTATCACCTGGTCCACCCGGTCTGATATGCGTGACAACCAGTGGGCGTGTCTTTGAGCTGTTTGCATTGACTCCGCCCCTGATGGTGAATCCATAGCTACCGTCTTCTCTGGTCAATCTGATGTCCAGAGTCTTAGAATACCCTGTTGATGGGCTCAAGGGAGCTGTAGAGAAATACAAGAGACGGTAGTATGATAAATGGTTGCGGTACCTGATGAGGGTGTTTACTAATAGTCTATAGTGGTAGGTACGTGGGAATAAAAAATGCATAAAAATTCCTCCTCTCATAAAAGGAGGGAACTAGAATATCATTTCAATTCAAAGCTGTGAAAGTTACTAACTTCCCACTAAATTTGATGATCCCTGTGGAAAACTCTCCCTTACACCTAAGAGTTACTTCAAGTATCTAAATCTCTATAGTATAGCACACAGCATCTCACCTATTCCAGCTAAAAATTAACCACATTTAATCAAGTTAGAATAATAAGGACTAAAATATTACAAAATAGTCATTTTACATTCATTCATATGCGTTTGTAGCCTTATAAAATAAAGATGAAGGAAATTAATTAGGTTGACCTCTGCAGGATGTTATTTGAAAAAGTCATTTATTTTGCATGGACATCAGCTTGGTTAATGTCAGGCTGAGTATTCAACTTATCAAAATAAGATTATGATTCGGTATACTCTTACTATATACAGGGAGCTCATACTCTATCTCCAGAGAGACCTTATTGCCCACATTCTTCAAGAGAGTGATGACCTCGTCATGTCGCAGTGTAACAGTCTTCACATTGTTGACTGATGTGATGAAATCTCCAGTCTGAAGTACATCACTGCGATGGGCCACGCCCCCTGGACGCATGTTGGTAACTCTGGGTCGGCCATCTTTGTCTATACCACCTATAACAAGAAGAGAGAGGGATTGATTATTTAGTACTGCTGACTTCAAAATACCCCTGTCATTTATAACAATGCCAAATCTTTTAATAGAATCCCAATATTTAGATTTATAACAGTGCCAAATCTTTTTATAGAAAGCCAATATTTACATTAAACATAAAATAAATGTCTATGGGAAGCAATCATAAAAACTAATAAACTATCCTTAATTTTTAATTACCTTTCTCCAAGAATGAGGGAATGAAAATTAAATTAACATGAAATTAATTTCTTCATAAGTATTATAAACAAGTTGATCTTTAAGCTCTACAATTTGCTGGGAACCATTGATACACTAACAGTAAAAAAAAACATATAAATCTAACTCATCAATGTGCATGACAACTGCACTTTTATCCCAAAACAACAGAATATGTTTTACATTCAAAATATTTAGAAAACATAACAGGCTTCCCTGCTTCTTGCATTTAATAATCAACTTCTGTATTAGTATTCAGACCCTATATCTTACCCCTCATCATCATGACTATGCAAGATATTTTCCCCCTTTTTCTTGTTTTCCTCCATTTTGATGTAACACGATGCACACTTGTTTATCATGTTACTACATTTTCACATAATGCTTTAATTCAATTTCCTCTTACTAATCTCCTAAAATGTGCAAATCAGGTTCCTGATCTTTTCTCGCTTTATACATTTCAAGATTATGCATACCCTGGATCCATATAAAACATGATGTGTCTATAAATACTGCTTTGCTTCAATAAGAGTGACAATTTTTAATACAGGGTTGTTTTTTAAGATGAAATGATTATATCTCCTTGATTTTCATGACTTCAGAGTCATACTGTTATGTTTATATTATTCTTTAGAAATTTTACAACAAGTACATGAATGCTTTATATTCCCAGTTTTATTTACATTATCACATATCTTCTTTAGATTCTGAACTCTAAATTTAGACCAGGAAATAAATCAAGGGAGCATCAGAATAAAAATAAAGAAAAATGACCAGGGGCTTGTCAAAAGTGCATGAAACCTATTAATCCACTAAATCTCAGCCAGGATCTTGATTGAGACCTAGAATAATCCACATTGATTAGAATGACAGCTCAAATCAGTATTTCAATCTAATCTTGGTCAACTTGGTCTGTCTTGGGATACTATCCACACCCTCTCTCTCTCTTTCTATCTTACTCTATCTCACTATATATCTTGGCGTGTGATCAAACCATCTGTCATGGTTTCAAGACTCAGAATCCTAAATGGTCGGTTCATGCTTGGTGACAGTATATTAAACCTGTGAGGAGTCTATGCATGGTGATCATAAATTTAAAAGATAATCCAGGGCTTTTTCATCAGTCCTGTCAAAAAGAAACTTGTGCAATTTAGCTATGATTAATATTCCCACAAAATTTCCCTGTGTTGACTGAATCTTATAAATCATTGATATGCATTTGCAGATGGCATGAATATACCATTAAAAGATAAAGACATATTTGTCAACTTATTGTGTTGCAACTATGTATAAAAAAAAATTAATTAAAGAGGCCATCAGATATTAAGAGGACTTTCTATAAATCTTTTTTTTGTGTGAAAGGGGGCAGGGGCATTTTACCATATATATATCTCTCTCTGCCATGCTACATGAAAATGTCTACAGAGAGACCTACTTTCAAGTACCTTCATTCCTTCCCAGGCATACATGTAGCAACAGAACTTGACTTTCCATCGAGAGTGACAAAAATATGGCAAAATCATCAGTGAAAAAAGTGCTGAGATGGTGGGATGTACGAGACCTTGGATACAAAGGTAATATTTCCTGAAGTGAATTCACTGAATTAGTGCTGCATCCTATCACCTCATAGCTCTATGTCACGATGTGATTGATGTTTCAAGGTGCAAGTCTGTTTACATTGGGCGAAACATTATCCATGTAGTATTCATGCCCTTGTTCATGTATGCTCGGGGGAATGGAAATGACCCGAATCTGTCATCTATACAATTTAAGTACCGGTACATGCGCTTGCTAGGGCAAATAGCCATGTGAATTTAAGATTCTCTTCCAAGATCATGTTGCTGATAATCTTGGCTTCAAAATTACTTAAATTTTATGATTTGCCTCCTAAACAAAGATGATAAAAGTAAACACCATCAAATATGTTCAATTCAGAATTAAGTCTCTCAAATTGCCAAAATGAAGAATGTTATGCATAAAATGTTCTATCAAATAGCTTAAAAATTTAAAAGACAATAAACAAATCAGTCAAGATGCAAAGTTTTGTCTTCCATTCCTGGAAGAGACATTCCATTCAAAAACTTGATTATTTCTGGGCGCTATTTCCAATGAAATTTCCCAAAACTTCCAGGGACCTATTAAAACCTTTTTATCATAACACTTCACCACAATTTTCATGACATTCGCCAGATTTTAAGCAGAAAGCCCTTCCATCTCTTCTCACCCATAATATTGTTTTAGGCAAGGAATACATGAACAAGATCAAGTGCTCAAGTCTATCAACCCATGAGCAAGCAAAATATGAAGTGTCAGAAAAAGTGACTTCCTGTGCCTTAGTTGCATACACAATGGCAGATTGCCAGACCTAGGGGTGTCCCATATTGGCCTATCCTTCCCCTCGTCTTCCTGTCTCAAACTAGTTTATTTCTCATCTTCTTCATTTAAAAGATTATTTTTCATCACTGGTAGAATTAAGTGGAGGGGGGAGGGGCACACCAACCCTGTGCCCTCTTTTGCCCCCAATCTGGAATTCCTTAAGCACACAAAACGATCATGCCCCTCCCCCTTCCAACATTTTTTTAATTAAAAAAAAAATTATTAAATTATTTTAAAAAGAGAATCTTGAATACCCCTATATATATATATTTAATCATACAGCATATCTCATAACATTGACATCCTCTATAAGAATGAAGTCTTCCAACCCCACGTTTCAAATACTTCATAATAAACATTATCACCCACATGTACCTGAAGATATCCCAAGAAATAGCAGGAAGCTCTCTACTGGGTCGATCTCTCCTACCTACTACCCATATAAGCAGATGATGGATAAGCCAAGTAAAGCCAGGGAACATCTGAAGATTTAATTCCCTTAAATTGAAATAGTCTGAATGCCCCCTACCCTCTCCACTAAGCTCTATCTTTGTATAGAAAAAATATACTATCCAGATGGAAGAAGAGTAGCACTGAAGCTCATACATTGAGATAAAAGTGATTTTTGGAAAGGGAAATATTGTTTTACAAATTCTCATAAGTGTTTTAAAAATCATAACTCATTGATAATATTTAAGACCTCCTAATGTCTTGCCAAGAGAACCAAAAAAACCTTAACCTTAACAACTGAAGATTAACATGTAATTAAGGCTATTGTTACCCTAAAATGGGCTTGATCGAAGACAAGATGAATCAATTACAGTTTACAGGTACGCAAATATCAATATATAGGCCAACTGAATGTTCAATCTGAAAAATAAAGAGGAATATATCAGTGCCTCAAATCTGGAAGTAATTTTCTAAGAATGTTTCAAGTTTTGAATGAAAGTTGCAGGTGTCAATGTTCTATAAGTCAGGGTCACACAGAATTTGGTTTCCCTGATAAGAAATGTTATATGAAGTGTGTTTCCTTTCAAGCGAGGCCTAATGACTCAAAACGGAAAAGTTTATTTAAGTTGGCTATTGAATGTAATTGTTTCAGCACGGACCTACAAATGATGATATCCATATTTTCTATTACATGTATTTGGTCATGATCTGAGAGGTGAAAGAAGCACTATCACCAAGCTTCAAAATCAGCCTTCTACATCTGCGTTTACAAATGAATAACTCCAGTGGCATGTATGTTTGATACAAGCGAACCTGAAACAACTGTATAGTGCACTGAACTGCAATGTCAGTGTAAATTATTCTGGATATCGCGAATTCATTATCGAGCTCGCAATATGTATGATCTGGGTTTTGCTGATAAGAAGCATCAAAGGAAATGATTGTTCATTTCATGCTGAATTCTGGTGACGAGCTTTGCCAAAATACAGAGTCAACTATGGCAGAGCTTTCCAAGAGTAAAAGACCAGCAAAGAGGTATCCAAATTTCCCAAACAGTGATTTTGCATATTAAGAGTGAGCCATCACAAAAATATGTATCTACATTATAGGCCAAGAAAAGTCTATCACAGACAACACTCTAAATACTCTATTAAAAAGTACTGTCCCCCCCCCCCCCCCCCCAGGTAAGAGCAAAATATTTTCTAACATTGTTTGTCACTGATCCAATACCTCTTTCTTTTACCTCTTGCTTCCCACACCCACAAATTCCAGACAAGTTTTTACCATGGCCAACTTTAAAGGTAAAGACCAGTATTGGAAACGCCCCAATTTCAAAAAATGAAATGGAAGCTCTCATTACCAATCATGTGAAAGAATATGTTTTGACTAATACATGATGATAAAAAATTTGCCGGGAAACCGCCTACTAATTCATATATTTGGTAAATTTGTTTCTCTCACGGTCTGTGAGAGATATAGGGTAGTGCCATATACATCTTTCTGTGTATAGTGCTTGTAACTTTACGAAGAATGGGCCAAATTTCTTATCATTTTGATGATTCCAGAACCTTGCAGATGCTAGATGCTAGATGATCAACCTTTTCTGATCGATTCCCCAATGTTTCTTTCACAATGCAATCGCATGACCATAACTGGTCTTTACCTTTAAGCTAGAGTCTTGATCAAAAATCCTTTTATTCACCAAGGCAAGGCAAACACAATGTGAAGGTGAGAAATTTGATCCATGTTCCTTCCAAAAAAAAACTTGATTTACCTGAGATTGTCAAACCGAATCCTACTCCAGGCGCTCTCTCCAACTCAACAATGGAGTGTGCACGAACTTCCTCTGTGATTTTTTTTTTTTTTTTTTATAAAGAGAGAAGAAAAAAGAGATAAGGGGGAGAAAGAAAGTAAGCAAGAGCAAGCGGGGAATGATAGAACAGGAGAAAAAGACAGATTGAGAGAAAGGAAAAGAGGAAAAAAGAGGGAGAGGAAAACAGAGGGAGAGGAGAGAGGGGAAGAGAAAGAGGAGAGAGGGAAAGAGGAAGAGGAGAGAGGGAAAGAGGAAGAGGAGAGAGGGGAAGAGAAAGAGAGAGGAGACCATAAGAGAGGGAAAAAATGAGACTTTGGTGGAATCAAAATCTGACTGGATGCCAATACACTGCTACATTTATACAAATTGCAAAACGTAATATTAACCGTATCAGACATCTGAGCAGGGAAATTTTTAAATGTTATTGCCCTCAAGGTTTGATGGACAAGTGAACAAAATTACAATAAGTTAGTCCGCTCAGAAAAGTCAATGCGATTTTGTGTGTAATTTGGCGGGCAATATAGGTTATACAGTAAACCAATGCGCAAATATTTTAGCCGCTCAGAAGAGTCAATGTGATTTGTGTGTAATTTGGCGGGTGATATAGGTTATACAGTAATCCAATGGACAAATATTTTAGCCCGCTCAGAAAAGTCAATGGCAAAATGCGTGTTAAACTAGTGCGCAATAATGTAGATCCAGTTGTAATTTACATCGCGCATCAGCTACTGTAATCTACATTGCGCATCGTGTATAAGAAAATGCGCACTTTGCGCGAACTCCATTGTGACGTAACAATCAAACCCAAGGCAAACTGTTTGCAGTGTATCGAAAATCTGTCAAACACTGGATGAACAGTGCTGGTTTGACAATGTTTTTGCAACTTCTAATGCTAGGAAACCCTGTATAGCCTACATAATTTAAGAGTATAAGATAGTAAGAGTTTCTTGTTTGCTCTAGATGTCTGATGTGGTTAATAATAGTAATATTGACTGCCTAATTCAGGGCAATACGACTTGTCATATATCACCCTCACCTTCGGTTCGGGCGATATATGTCGTATTGCCCAGAAGGCAGTCAATATTACTTAAATATTCAATAATTCATACAAATTAAAAATCTGAATTGAATTAAAATCTTATTTTCCCCTGCAAGCACTTGCTTTATATTTGAGATGAATGGGGTGGATCATTGCCAAAAGGAATCAATACCCTTTTTGATATAAAAGTATTTCTCCCTGATTTTATCTCTTTAATATACAAATATACATGTTCCACGTTTGCTTCTAGTTTCTTTGGCTTTATAACAAGTGATATGCAGATCTCTGAGACAGGTCAAATGGACAGTTCACGTTTAGTAGGAAATCTGTTTTGTAAAATTGAATTTACCAGACGAAGGATATCACAGAGACATAGCAATGTATGATATTAATGATACTAGAGCAGAAAAGGAAACATAGCATTGACTAGGCTCCATTATCCACCCACTTCGTTTAATTAATGCCTTGACAATGTTGTCAACGAGTCAACGAGTCTGTCATAGAATGACAAGAAATGGGTTCCTATGTCTGGCAAATCCTTTTTTTTAAAAGCTTTATTAGAAGCCCACATTCTTTATCCAAACATAACAAGTAATTTTCCTTTACAACTATTTTGTTCATTGCAAAACAAACTTTACAAAACAAGGAAACAAAGTGTCCTGTCTGGCGAACCTTTTTGGAATAGCTATATTAGAAACCCATATTCCTTATGAAAGAATAAAAACAAGTAATTTTCCACTGTAACCATTTCCTTCTTCTTATCTGTTTTACTCCTCCTTGTTGTTTCGTGGTTGTTTGTTGTTTTGTAATATTATCCTGTCTTCCAAGTCTTCATAGGCAAAATTTGAAACAATTGTATTTTTTTCTTTGGGATCCACAAACTACAAAGACTGCTTTTTAGTGGACCCCCTCCCCCCTCCCCATTTCCTCAGAAGTTAAGAATTTCTTGTAATGATTGTATTATGTGCAAATGAATTATTTATGGGAAAAAAGTAATATCTTTATTTATCTTTCTGTGTGAAATGAAATAAATATGAATTAAATTGAATTGAATTCTATGCAAAAATATACTTTACAAAAAAGAAAAGAAAGTGTACCTGGTATTGTAGAGGCCTCATTCTGTAATGCTATCTCCTGGGACGCTTTACTCTTACCCTTGCGACCGTCATCATCTGAAATGACAATAAAAGAGAAGAATACATGAGAATTATTACATCATAACAAAATGACATGGGCAAATTTGTAGTTTGAAAGATGGAAAAATATATACACATATCTTTTTAAAAGTCTGACAACAGTTTTCTTTAAAGGTGTATATATATATATATATATACAAAAATATAATAATATAACAATAAGTTCTTACAGGTTACAAGTGAAGACATATCAACAGTACATCTTCATGTATCGTATGTCCAAGAAAGCACAGTTATCAGTGGCAACATTTGAATGCAGTCAGGTTTACCCTCAAGTCTTATATACCACACGAATGCATACCCAACATGATTGGCACATTCAATGCACTGATGTTTTCTTTTACTATTGTTAACGACAATACAAATGTCAGCAATAATTCACTAATGATTTCAATTTGGCAGAACAGCTTGAACCGTTACATTGATAAGCCGGAGCAAAGCAAACATAAAAATACCAATGGATTATATATAGCAGGAATGGTAGATCTCTTTCTACTTTCATACTGCGACGACGTCAGTGGGTTACTTTTTTTTAATGTGGTATTCAAAACCAGCACATTATATCCTACACTAATGTGCTGTTTCTGAAATATATGAAAATAGACAACTAGATGAACACATACTTCAAATTTAGCTAGACATAAGCCAAATAATTTAAATTAAAATATCAAATCAATTACAAAATTTACATTGATTGAACCAAATATATTGAAAGATATTTAGAACCAGATTCTCAAAACATTGAATACAAAGCTGTTAGTTGACTGACAAGTCCTCCATACAAGCAAATATTAAAAAGAAATTCAAATTGAAAAAAACATAACAAAACAAAACATGGTTATCAAATTTTTTCTTTATAGTCATGATAAGGTCTCCAAGGTTTAATGACAAGCATTACAAAGTTATAAATTTTGCCATTCAGCAGAGGGGAGCATGAACTTGTGAAATACTAGGCAGAATTCATCCAGGTTTATGTCCCCGGCATTGGACACGCTACTCTACAGCAGAACTATACTGCAACCCTTTGCAATGTTCATGACCCTTTGGGTTAGTTCTTGGTTCAATGCATGATCAATCAAATTGTGTAAATTTTGACTTCCTGTCTCCTGTTATAAATACTGCATGATTAAGCGCGACTCTAAACCATTTGTATTGTAATTGTTCTTAAATACTACTAGAGTGCAATGGACATGCATGTTTAGGCTTATATTAAACAGGTATATACCAATAACTGCAGTAATGAGGGGTAAAGGAGACAAAGGGGGAAAGGGGAACGTTTAAAAAGGATTTAAAATAATTTCTGTAATGATAACGGATGATAATGATTAAACTGATTCAGTTTCATAATGCTATTTTAAAAGGCTTTCCTAAAAGCTTTATTAAAAAATAAAGCCATTATTTTGAAAGAACTTTTATAAGATACAATGAAAGCTATCACTGAAGTTTTATACCAAAACCTATAACTCTGGTCCAATACAATCACTACTACTATCTTGGCAATCACACTCTCTATATTGAATAGTGAGACAGAGAAATCAGGGTTTTAATAAAGATTATACAACCCTTTCTCATGTAGGTTTTGCACCTGTAATAAAATAAACATGTTTACCTTTAACCTGCAAACATCTAAATACAAATCAACTGTTTGTTATCTCTACAATGAGGTTTAATAAGAGTAACAATTCACACGGTGCCCCTCCTATTTACAAAATAAGCTTTTATCCATTGTGGAAAATAATTCATCCAAATCAAGAGGGTTAGCAGAGCAATGCAATTACGCTTCATATCAAATGTACCAATATACTGAACTGTACATCGTAAGATTGTACTCCAATGAAAGGTAGGAAAGTTCTGTTGACACAAACATCTTTCTATGATTCCAAATGTACAACCAGTTGCATTTTTCCTTTATAAACCATTTTCCATAATCACTACAAAGTCAAAAAATACATTTTTTCCTGGTCATCCTTTTTGATGTTTGCTTCAAATTGTGTTAGAATGTATTCATATTTTTCAATATGATAAACTTACCCCCCTCCCCCCCCCCAAAAAAAAAAAAAAAATATGTAACTTTGGTTGGACAAGAGATTTGTGCTATAATTACACTTTGAGTTTGTTTGTTTGTTTTTGTTTATTGTTTTTTATTTTTGTAATAGTGCATCTGCCTAGCAGCAAACCTCTGATCACTGTATTAAAACTAACATAATATCATCTGTTGAAACCCAGGAGCGTATAAAGTCTGCATTTAAGTACATGAGTGAATACCCCTCTGGTCCTCAGAAGATAATATAAATCATGAGTAATAAAAAGTAGAACATTCACATGAATACCAACCTGCTCTACGAGATTTCGGGAAGCAGCTTGTCTTAGACATGACTCTTCCTGATCCTAGCTTTTAATAACCAAACGGATGCAATGCAGATCAGAAAGTATGCTTTCCTCAAAGTTCACTATCCCACAATCGAAAGTTAATAGCGAATGATCACAACCGAGATAGCGGCATCATTTATCTCTTAAATCAAGTTCTGTAACCTCTTCATTGTACAAAAATAGCAGCGTAGAGCAACTTCCAGATATTGAATACAAATCTACCGTTCGTTCGTGGTAGTGAAATTAAATTAACTGGAGAGTAATGCCAGCAACTGTTTCTGAGCCACTAAAATGTCACCACAAGGTACAAATCACATGAAGCATTCAGATGTAATGCCACACATCGTCCCGCCCAGGTCAGATGAAGCTAGGTAGTACTATTAATCCATAAGTTCACACGATACAAAATAAACGTTCCAGAACATGATTAGATATATATATATATATATATATATATATATATATATATATATATCTGTGGATCTATCTGTATTATTTTAGACCTGCCTGCCTGCCGCACATGTAACGCCTCGGGGGTGAAGGATAGAAAGTGACTACTGTTTAATCAGTACAACCTGTCATAGGGATCGAGACAGGAGCTAGGGCAGAGAGAAACAAACTTCAATCATCCCTAATAAGAGAATTGGACAATAATTGTGACAAGGTTAACGCTGGCTACGAGTCATACCCTGGGAGGAAGTACACGTCTTATACCGGTGTGATTTTCTAAGGAGGGGGGTGGGGGGGGGGCAGCTACAGCAAGCACTTTGGAGCCTCAGGAGTACCTTTATAGGATGTTATTAATTTATTATTAGCATTCAGCTAATATTTATGAACAATTTTTTCTTCTCATTTTATTTATTTATTTATCATTTCATTTATTTATTTATTTATTTATTTATTTTATTTTTTTTTTTTTTTGGGGGGGGGGGGTTATGCCTTTTTCATTTTAAGTTTTACCATAATATTTTTTTTGTTTTTGTTTTGAGGCCGCCATCCTTGTCAAGCTTCGCTTATGATTGCGGTCTACTGCACTTTTCCATCAGAATAATTCGGATAATACTTTAAATTTATGATAATATGTTATGGAAATATTAAGTTTCGTATATGTACATATATTATGTTAAAAAAAAACATTTTGACATGAAGACATTATTGTTTGTATATGTTGTATTATACCTTAATACATTTTTATGTTCTTTGTTATTCAGTTATATTATATTTGGAAAAATGATTCTTTCAAACTTGGCACAGATGCCTCTATGACTACAGTTGTACAAAACATGTTTTCATGATTCTAAAAAAATCTTGCATCTTAGATGTCATGTTGTCATGTGTTTGTAGAACATATATTTGGTACAGAGTGACCTATAATTATTTTAGGAATTGAGACATGGCATTAACGGATTAGACTTGCAGAGGATTATTAATTTGAGATTAACAGTTATCTAAGACTGAGGCAGAGTTAATTTGTAACTTACTCGTGCATAGATCTCAGGTCTCAGTTAGCATGTGACAGTGAGGCTGAATTTTGGTATGGCATGGAATAACATGATCAATATTTAAAAATAAGTTTAATCTGGTCGATGTACTAGATGTGCAAGATCTCAAGATATTAAATGGAATCTGGTCTAGATGTTTTTATAGGAAAGTCATGTGCAAACAGTGCAATCACTTCTTCTCATGCAATCCATATTCAAAGCTGTCTGCTTAAAATGCAATGCAGATAGCAAAAAACTAAAACAAAACAAAGCACACAAAAAAAATTTAATCAAAAAATAGGAATAGCGATTCGATTCACACAAGTTCAAATGGATCACTGATGAAAAATCCATCTACAATAAAATATCAATATTGACAAGTCAACGCAAAGCGTAGCATCCCCTCGCAGGGTACAAATGGCCTATATATGTCAGAACAAGTTACCTCCATTGGACTATACTATTATATTACTAGGCAAGGAAGTTAACCACATTTTCACATAATAGGTGTTTTTGCATAGTTAATGAGCTATGACCTTTCACCTTTGACCTAAATACTAAGATATCAAACTTAGGCTGTACACATATTTTGATACCATGTAACTTCATATCAAATTTCATTACAATCCGTCAAACAATACTAAAGTTATGGATCTGAAACCAGATTCGCATATTTAATGAGCTATGACCTTTGACCTGCGTACTCCAAAATCAAAGTTAGCCTGTATTTTGTTGATATCATGTACCTTCATATCAAATTTCATTAAAATCCGTCAAACATTACTAAAGTTATCGATCGGAAACCAGATGTGTATTTGTTTGCATATTTAATGAGCTATGACCTTTGACCTACGTACTCAAAAATCGAACTTAGCCTGTATTTTGATATCATGTACCTTCATATCAAATTTCATTAAAATCCGTCAAACATTATTGAAGTAATCGATCGGAAACCAAATTTGTTACGGACGCACGCACGCACAGCAGCGTTTCTATATCCCCTCCAACTTCGTCGGCGAGGGGATAATAAAGAAGAGTCTCACTTTTACAAGTAAATACCAAAGGGGGGATGCGTTAACAAAACTAATAACTTTCCCCTGTTATAATAAGAGTGGCATATAGGCC